AGTAGAATTGCTGGGTTGTGCGCAGTAGTTCTGAGTGAGTGAATGAGTGAAGTCGCTCAGTTGTGTCTGACTCTTTGCGACCCCATGGACTGTAGCCTACCAGGCTCCTCCATCCTTGGGATTTCCCAGGCAAGAGTACTGGAGTGGATTGCCATTCCGTTCTCCAGGAGTTCTTCCCATCCCAGGGATTGAACCCAGTTCTCCCACATTGCAGGCGGCTTCTTTACTGTCTGAGCCAGCAGGGAAGCCCATCAGCAAATACTTAACTGAATGTTTGACACATGTGACAGGTGTTAATGGGGCTCTGGGGCTAAAGTGGGTGACGGGACAGCTTGTCCTCAAAGCTCGTACTGCTCAGTGTGCGCCCAAGTGTCCAGGTTGAATTGTGTCCCTCCAACTCTGACCCCCAGGACCTCAGAGTGTGACCTTATTAGGCAATAAGGGCTTCCCTGGTGGCTCAGGTGGTAAAGAGTCTGTCTGAAATGCAGGAGATCCAGGTTTGATCCCAGGGTAGGGAAGATCCCCTGGAGAAGGGAATGGCAATCCACTCTAGTATTCTTGCCTGGGAAATCCCATGCACAGAGGAGCCTGGTGGGCTACAGTCCGTGGGGTTGCAAAGAGTCCAACATGACTGAGCAACTGTCCACAGGCACACACATGCGTGGTCTGGTATGACTGGTGGACTTATAAAGCAAAATTTAGACACAGAGTCAGATGCACATAAAAGGGAGATGATATGAAGATGTTGAAAAGACAGCAGGCCCTTAATGGAGTCATTTATGCTAAGCCCCAAATCACCAAACTAAGACTTTAATTACAGTTTCAGCTCTCCCAGAAGTGGAATCTTACCCTAGTCAATCAAGAATCGCTTGACCAACATTAGTCAGGTAATCTGCCTGGCAGACCCTTGCCATCCCCTCTAAGGAAAGTCATCTTACAACGAACAATCTGCTTTTTGGCCTAGTACAACTTCTTTATTCCCACTCTAGTCTGCCTATAAAATCTCTAGCCTTGTATAACTGTTCAGGGAAACTTTCCACCTGCTAGATTGTTGATGCTGCTTGAATCTTGAATCATGAATCTTTGCACAGAGCCAATAAGATCTTTGATGTTTACTCAGTTAAATTTTGTTTTTCATAAAGACACAACACAAGGAGAACACCCCATCAACTTGAAGGCAAAGAGCAAGCTTGTGATGCTTCCACAAGCCGAAGTATGCTGAAGATGGCCTGAAAACCACTGGAAGCTTCAAGAGAGGTCTGAAACAAAATCTTCCATCATGGCCCTCAGAGAGAACCAGCCCTGCTGACACCTTGATTTCATTGTAGCCTCTAGGAAAGTTTGCCAGTACATGTCTGTTGCTTAAGCTACTCAGCTGGCGACATGTTGTTACCGTGGCCCTGGGAAACTAATACGTGAAGGCAAAACAAAGCAATCACAAAACTGTGTGACATATCTATGGGGCATATATGTGATGCCTCAGAGGGTGGTGTGGGTGAGGTGGAAGCCATGTCTTACTGGCCTTGAGGGCCCATGAAAAGGGTTTAGATTTGCCCCTGGGTCACAAGCCAGGAGAACCTTGCCATCTGGCAGAAGACATGAAGAAATTTTATTTTTATTTTTTTAAACTGCAGAAGAGGACATATTCTTCCCATCCTTAACTCTTCATCTTGTAGAATGCAGGCTTTCTCAACTGGAAACAGCTAAGAGATGGAGCAAAGCCCCAGAATCCTTGGCAACATAGGAGGCTGTGAAATACCCCTCAGAAGGCCTTATACTGGAGTGCACTCCCTGGTCCTGCTGCCTCCCATCTGTGTTGCTCCAGGTGTTGCCCCAGTCATGAGGAACTGCTCTGGGAAGAAGACCATGGATGGGGCCATTTTGATTTCATGTACTTGATGAATTTTAGCTAGAAGGTCTGTGAATGAAATTATATCAGTTTGGTGAATTAAATTGGTTTTAATTCAGTTTAAAGCAATGATCCTCACTGCCCCCCCACTCCTGGCAGAGTTTAAAAGTCAGGAAGGGAATTTAATTGGAGTCAATAAGAAGAAACCAAGGAGTTGACAAGAAGTTTGGGCTTGAGACCAAGCACTTACAATCTTCCAAAGGCAAAAGTCTAGATTCTTGGAAAGAACAGGGAGTTTCTGTTCTTTGTCAATGTGGTCATTTAAAAATAATGTTTCTTTTTCTAACAAAAATGTTGTTTCCAAATTTGGGGATTTTTGTATTGAAGGCCCTTTACATTTCAAAAGATCTTTTAAAAAGCATTGCAATGAAACTAGAAAATCTGTGGATTTACCTTGATTTTTAAAGAATATGATTTTGTGTTTCATTCTGTAATGATATATGCAGTTATTACGGAGTTCAAAATTGGAAATTTGGGGCATGGCAAATATTTGGACCCTGCTTATTTAACTTATATGCGGAATACATCATGAGAAACGCTGGGCTGGAGGAAGCACAAGCTGGAATCAGGATTGCCAGAAGAAATATCAATCATCTTAGATATACAGATGATACCACCCTTATGGCAGAAAGCAAGGAAGAACTAAAGAGCCTCTTGATGAAAGTGAAAGAGGAGAGTGAAAAAGTTGGCTTAAAGCTCAACATTCAGAAAGCTAAGATCATGGCATCTGGTCCCATCACTTCATGGGAAATAGATGGGGAAACAGTGGAAACAGTGTCAGACTTTATTTTCGGGGGCTCCAAAATCACTGCAGATGGTGATTGCAGCCATGAAATTAAGAGACACTTACTCCTTGGAAGAAAAGTTATGACCAAGCTAGATAGCATATTAAAAAGCAGAGACATTACTTTGCCAACAAAGGTCCATCTAGTCAAGGCTATGGTTTTTCCAGTGGTCATGTACGGATGTGAGAGTTGGACTGTGAAGAAAGCTGAGCACTGAAGAATTGATGCTTTTGAACTGTGGTGTTGGAGAAGACCCTTGAGAGTCCCTTGGACTGCAAGGAGATCCAACCAGTCCATCCTAAAGGAGATCAGTCCTGGGTGTTCATTGGAAGGACTGATGCTGAAGCTGAAACTCCAATACTTTGGCCACCTGATGTGAAGAGCTGACTCACTGGAAAAGACCCTGATGCTGGGAGGGATTGGGGGCAGGAGGAGAAGGGGACGACAGAGGATGAGATGGCTGGGTGGCATCACCGACTCGATGGGCATGAGTTTGAGTAAGCTCTGGGAGCAGGTGATGGACAGGGAGGCCTGGCGTGCTACGGCTCATGGGGTGGCAGAGTCGGACACGACTGCTCGACTGAACTGAACTGAGGCTCTTGAGTCACTCCTGCAGCCTTCTTGCAGCAAGTGAGCCTGAGGCAGCCCTTGCCCGCTCGGTGCTCTCTGGTGCCTGGATCCCTGTCCTTGAGCTTGCCTGAGCAAGTGCGCCATGCAGAGGAGGAGGTAGAGCCATTTGCCTTAGAGGCGGAAAATGCCCAACTCATGTCTCTTATCATTAGTACCTTCTATTCCAACAAGGAAATTTTTCTTCTGGAGTTGATCAGATGCCTTGGACAAGATTTGCTATGAGAGCCTGACAGACCCTTCCAAATTGGACAGTGGTAAAGAGCTGAAAATTGACATCATCCGGAACCCCCAGGAGCATACTCCAACTCTGGTAGACACGGTCATTGGCATGCCCAAAGCTGACCTCGTAGATAAGTTGGGAACCATTGCCAAGTCTGCTACTAAAGCATCCATGGAGGCTCTTCAGGCTGGTGCAGACATCTCCATGATTGGGTAATTTGGTGTGGGCTTCTACTCTGCCTGGCTTCCCTGGTGGCTCAGAAGTTAAAGCATCTGCCTGCAGTGCAGGAGACCTGGGTTCAATCCCTGAGTCAGGAAGATCCCCTGGGGAAGGAAATGGCAACCCACTCTAGTATTCTTGCCTGGAGAATCCCATGGACGGAGGAGCCTGGTAGGCTACAGTCCATGGGGTTGCAAAGAGTCGGACATGGCTGAGCGACTTCACTTTGAACTTTGAACTTCTACTCTGCCTACCTAGTGGCAGAGAAAGTGGTTGTGATAACAAAGCATAACGATGAGGAACAGTATGCCTGGGAGTCTTCTGCTGGGGATTCCTTCACTGTCCGTGCTGACCATGGTGAGCCTATTGGCCGGAGTACCAAAGTGATTCTCCACCTGAAGGAAGACCAGACAGAGTACTTGGAAGAGAGGTGGGTCAAAGAAGTGGTGAAGAAGCACTCACAGTTCATAGGCTATCCCATCAAACTCTATCTGGAGAAAGAACGTGAGAAGGAAATTAGTGATGATGAGGCTGAAGAAGAGAAAGGTGAGAAAGAAGAGGAAGATAAATATGATGAAGAGAAGCCTAAGATTGAAGATGTGGGTTCAGATGAGGAGGATGATAGTGGCAAAGATAAGAAAAAGAAGACAAAGAAGATAAAGGAGAAGTACATTGATCAGGAAGAACTGAACAAGACCAAGCCCATTTGGACCAGAAACCCTGATGACATCACCCAGGAGGAATATGGTGAGTTCTACAGGAGTTTTACCAATTACTGGGAAGATCATTTGGCAGTAAAGCACTTCTCTGTAGAAGGTCAATTGGAATTCAGAACACTGCTGTTCATCCCCTGTCAGGCTCCTTTTGACCTCTTTGAGAACAAAGAGGAAAAGAACAACACCAAACTGTGTGTCCATCCTGTGTCCATCTGGACAGCTGTGATGAGTTGATTCCAGAATATCTCAACTTCACCCATGGGGTGGGTGACTCTGAAGACCTTCACCTGAACATCTTCAGAGAAATGCTCCAGCAGAGCAAAATTTTGAAGGTTATTCATAAGAACAGTGTTAAGAAGTGCCTTGAACTCTTTTCTGAGCTGGCAGAAGACAAGGTGAAATATAAGGAATTCTATGAGGCATTCTCTAAAATCCTGAAGCTTGGAATCCATGAGGACTCCACTAATCGGCGATGCCTTTCTGAGCTGCTGCACTATCACACCTCCCAGTCTGGAGATGAGATGACTTCTCTCTCAGAATACGTGTCTCACGTGAAGGAGACCCAGAAGTCCATCTGTTACATCACTGGTGAGAGCAAAGAGGAGGTTAACTCTGCTTTGTGGGAGCACGTGTGTAAGCGTGGCTTTGAGGTGGTGTACATGATGGAGCCCAGTGATGAGCACTGTGTGCAGCAGCTCACGGAGTTTGATGGGAAGAGTCTGGTCTCCGTGACCAAGGAGGGCCTGGAGCTGCCTGAGCACAAGGAGGAGAAGAAGAAGATGGAGGAGAGCAAGGCCAAGTTTGAGAACCTCTGCAAACTCATGAAAGAGATCTTGGATAAGAAGGTGGAGAAGGCGACGATCTCCCAACAGGAGATCATGTCTTCACCCTGCTGCACTGTGGCGAGCACCTACAGCTGGACAGCCAGCATGAAGTGCATCATGAAAGCTCAGGCACTTTGGGACAACTTGACCGTGGACCACATGGTGGCCAAAAAGCACCTGGAGATCAGTCCTGACCACCCCATCATGGAGACCCTGCAGCAGAAGGCAAGAGGCAGACATAAACGGCAAGGCCGTCAAGGACCTGGTGGTGCTGCTGTTTGAAACTGCACTGCTCTCCTCTGGCTTCTCGCTTGAGCATCCCCAGACCCACTCCAACCATATCTACTGCATAATCAAGCTTGGCCTGGGCATTGATGAAGACGAGGTGACGGCAGAGGAGCCCAGTGCTGCTGTTTCTGATGAGATTCCCCGCCTTGAGGGTGACGAGGATGCCTCTCACATGAAAGAAGTAGATTAGGAGTTTTTACCTGCAGCCTGCTCCCTTTGTATAGCATCCCCATGGCTCACCCAGCAGCAGCCCTAGTGGCCCTGGCCCACGTGTTTCCCTCTGCTGATGTCTAGTGGTTTTATTTCTGTCCTTCTGTCTAAGACAGGATATAAAGGCCTCAAGCAAGCCCTATCCCTATCCATGTTTGACATGGGGTTTGAAAATTGTGTGTTGTGTTTTTGTTCGGAATTTTGTTTTGTTTTTGTTCTGAAATTAAAGTATTGGGAAAAACAAAACCAAACGGCGAGATAGCACTACATGCCTCTTAGAAACGGCCGAGATCTAGAATGCTGCAAGAGCAAATGCTGCAAGAGCAAGTGCTGGCAAGGGTGAGTAGCAACAGGAACTCTCATTCGTTGCTGGTGGGAATGCAAAATGGTATAGTCACTTTGGAAGACAGTATGGTAGTTTCTTACAAAAAATAAACATATTCTTACTATATAATCCAGCAATCTCTTTTCTTGATAATTTACCCCAATGAGTTGAAAGTTTATGTCCACACAAAAACCTGTACATGGATGTTTATAATAGCTTTATCCAAAACTTAGAAGCAACCAAGATGTTCTTCAGTAGGTGAATAGATAAACTGTGATACATTCAGACAATGGAACATTATTCTGCACCAAAAAGAAATGAGCTATGAAACCATGAAAAGATGTGGAACTATAAAACCAACTTCATTCCATAACCAATGAAATGTTATTTAGTGCTAAAAAGAAATGAGTTATAAAACCTTAAATGTACATCACTAAGTGAAAGATACTAATCCCAAAAGTCTGATACTATATGATTCCAACTGTATCATATTCTGGAAAAGGCAAAATTCTGGAGACAGGAAGGGGATCAGTGGTTGCCATGGGTTAGTGTAGAGGGAGGGATGAAGAGGTGAAGCACAGAGGATTTTTATGGCAATGAAACTACTCTGTATAATACTATAATTGTGGATTTGTTATACATTTGTGAAAATGCATAGGATGTACAACACCAAGAGTTAAACAATGCAGAGTATGGACTTTGGGTGATAATTATGTGTCAGTGCAGGCTCACTGATTGTAACCGGTGTACCACTCTGGTATAGGGTGTTGACAAGCGGGGAAGACTGTGTATATGTGGAGCCTGAGAGCGTATGTGACATCTCTGTACTTTCTGCTCTGTTTTGCTGTGAACCTAAAACTGCTATAAAAAATGTTTTTATGAGAAAGTTAGAAGGATGCCAGTCATGCTCTCTTTATTTCATCTCAGCAGCTTAGCTGAGAAAGCATATAATTTTTCAATAGTATCCATGATGGTGACTGTAGAGATTTTAATGGAAAGATTTATTTCATTCATGTAAGTGTAACTAACTGGCAGGTAATGCAACTAAAGGATATTTCCCCCCAAAGTCAAACAAGAATGGGGTTTCTTTTTCTCATAGAGAAAAGGAAACTTCTGCTTAGTTCAAGTGCTTTTAAAGATTCCCTCTTCTGAGTGGTAGTGCAGTCATCTCCCCCATGTTTCCATTTCCTGACAAAATCCTTTAAAAGATGTGGCAATTCAGAGATCTGGTTCTAATAATGGTCTTGCCTCTATGACTAAAGGACTTCCCTGGTGGTTCAGTGATAAAGAATCCACCTGCCTATACAATAAAAAATCCACCTGCCAACGTAGGAGATGTGGGTTTGATCACTGGGTTAAAAAGATCCCCTGAAGGAGGAAATGGCAGCACACTCCAGTATGCTTGCCTGGAAAGCCCCATGGACAGAGAAGCCTGGTGGGCTACAGTCCATGGGTTCACAAAGAGCTGGACACGACTTAAGTGCCTGAGCAGGCATGCTAAGCATGTCTCAGGGTAACCTGAGGAGTCTTCGTTATCAGAACCGGTCTGTGTAGCAGATGATGGCTGATAATGACCCGAGGAGGTCCCTTTTTCATGAAAGTAGCAGAACAAGTTGTATGATGAAGTGTGGCAAGAATTTTATCTGTGCAAAGAGTTTCTTTTCAGCCAAAAGTTGTGTTTAGCAATTCTTCTTCTTTTCTTTCTTAGAAAAGTCATTTTGAAAACATTCAGTCATCAGAATTCCTAAAACAGACTAAAAAAAGAGAAAGTTCTCTGATGGCACCAGCAAGCACATAGTGAATAAAACAAGGAGGTGCCTATTATAAGAGATGTCCTGCAGGTGCAGGGGAACCTAGAGGTTGCCAGTTCTTCACTGATGTGCTTCAAATACCCCTGAGTGTGAAACACACTCTCCTGTTTCTTTACACGTCTCGTAGTTTGTTTTTTTTTTCCTTGTTGGTTACATACTGCTTTTAAAATAAAGTGTTGTGAAAACTCTGATAATCAGACCATCCCCTCCCTCCCCTCCCCCTAACCAGGGTTCGTTGTTGTCACTGTTTGGGATTGTGGGTGTCACTGTAGTCGCCGCTTGTTTTTTTAGTGACTTCCCTGGACTAGTTAGAGTCGATATTCTTGGCTGTGTACAGCCACTGAAGTCTTTGCTCCGTTAGCCTTGTGAACAGCTAATGATTGGAGGAACATGTCCTTAAATTTCTTGAGCCAGCGAGTCTCCCAGCCAGTAGGTTCCCAGTAGGAACCCCAAGGGGTCCTCTGTGCATTTCGGGACTTGCTTGCAGTGTTCTCACAGGCACTTCACAACCCCACCTTAGCCTTCATTCTCTTCTCATGCAGAATCTCGCGGCTAGTCAGAGGTGGAAAAATTAGGACCTTCTCAGGTCTTCCCTGGACATAGTCAGAGCCCGGTACATACAGGTGGCTTTCTAGATTCCAAGGAGTAGGTTGAGCTTTTAAAAGCCCCCCAAAACTTCTTATTCACCAGATTTTTCTTTTAAAATGTTTTGTTCAACAGCCCCTTAAATAAGGGGCCCAACTCCTATTGCTATCATAGGCACCTGGGATGTTAATTGCCATGGATTTTTCTGAGGTTTTGTTGTTTGGTTTTATTCTTTTCTGCCAATGAGGATTTGTGATTTTTTAAAGTCTAAGTATAATTGACTTACAATATTATGTTAGTTTCAGATATATAAGAGTGATTTGATATTTTTATGCATCATAAAAGGATCAGAAGTCTAGTTATCATCTATCATTATACAAAAGCAGTGTAATATTATTATTGGTTATATTCCCCATGCTGTATATTAGACCCTTGTGACTTATTTATTTTATAAATAGAAGGTTGTACCTCTTAATCTCCACTACCTGTATCACTCCTCTTCCCATCCCTCTCCCTTCTGGAAATCACCTATTTGTTCTCTGTGTCTATGACTACTCTGTGTTATGCTTGTTCATTTGTTTTGTTTTTGAGACTCCACATATAAGTGAAATCATACAGTATTTATCTTTGTCTGCCTTATTTCGCTTAGCATAATACCCTAGATCCATTCATGTTGTCACAAATGGAAGAGTAAAAAAAGAATGAAATTATTTTTTTGGCTGAATAATATTCCATTGTATACAGATACCACATCTTCTTTATTCATTCATCTATTGATGAACACTTAGGTTGCTTCCATATCATGGCTATATATATATATTTTTTGGTGCACTGTATGGTTTGCAAGATCTTAGTTCCCTAGCCAGGGACTGAACCTCAGCAGGGACAGCTTGGAGTCCTAACCTCTGAGCCACCAGGGAATGCCCTCATGACTGTTGTTAATAGTACTAGAATGAACAGTGGACACATATACCTTTTCAAATTAGTGTTTTTAGTTTAGTTTTGGGTTTTTTTTTGGCGGGAAGTAAATGCCTGGAAGTGAAATTGCTGAGTAGTATGGTAGCTCTATTTTCATTTCTTTGAGAAATCACTGTACTGTTTTCCATAGTGGCTATGCCAATTTACATTCCCATCAACAGTGCGCATGCATTCCCTTTCTCCACATCCTCACCAACACTTGATATTCGTGGGTTTGTTTGTTTTTTTTTTTGATGATAGCCTTGGTAGGCAGGGTCAGGTCCCAACATAGTTCACCGTGGGCTCTTGAATTTTCTGGAGTTGGTGTTAACCGGCCGGTGGGTCGGGCTAGGGCTGAATCCCAGGGAGGCCGGCTGAGGGGCCCAAAGTGTCTGGAGCTGCTGTTGGTCTGCTGGTGGGTTAGACCAGGGCCTGGGTTAGCTTAGGGCTGGTGCCAACCCACTGGTGGGTGTGGCGAGTCCTGGGGCTAGTGTTAGCCCACGGGAGTGGAGCTGGATCCCGGGGCCTCTGGTGGGTGGGGCTGAGCCCCTGGCGGCTTGGTGCTCAAGAGGGTCCTCTGGTAGCCCTCCTGATGGTGGGCGGGGCCGTGTTCCCATCCAGTTAGCTGCTTTGCCTGGGTCATGTCAGGACTGGTGCCCACCCAGCAGTGGGAGGGCCAGGGTTCTGCTTCTAACCAGCTATAGGGAGAAGTCCAAAATGGGGCTTGCCAGCACAGTGTCCTCATGGTAGAATGAGCACCCCAGAATGGCTAGTGCCAGTGTTTATGTCCCCTGGGAAGGAGGGTCCTCGTTGTCTCCCGCCTCTCCAGGAGGTGCCCCAAGTTTAGCAAGTGGGTCTGACCCAGACTCCTTTACATACAGCTTCTGTCCTGGGGCTCCGAGCATGTGAAATTTCGTGTGCATCCTTTTAAGAGTGGAGTTGCCACAACGAGGTACCATTACACGCCAGTCAGGATGGCTGCTATCCAAAAGTCTACAAGCAATAAATGCTGGAGAGGGTGTGGAGAAAAGGGAACCCTCTTACACTGTTGGTGGGAATGCAAACTAGTACAGCCACTATGGAGAACAGTGTGGAGATTCCTTAACAAACTGGAAATAGAACTGCCATATGACCCAGCAATACCACTTCTGGGCATACGCACTGAGGAAACCAGATCTGAAAGAGACACGTGCACCCCAATGTTCATCGCAGCACTGTTTATAATAGCCAGGACATGGAAGCAACCTAGATGCCCATCAGCAGATGAATGGATGAGGAAGCTGTGGGACATATACACCATGG